TTGCCGAAGGTCAATTTCTGCCAGCTGCCCATGAGTGTTCCCTACAATCACCGAGCTAAGGAGGAGACCAGAGGCAGATGAGGTCAGCAGGAGCCCCTTGAAGTCCTTCCCAAGCCCCATTTTGCCTTCTAAACACTCACTTGCCCCCAGGAGTGAGGGTCATGGCTGTCAGTGGGTACTCTCCATAGGTGGCCTCGAGGACTGGCCTGCGCTGGGGGGAAGCTGGATCGTAGACACGGACCTGGAGGAAGACTGAAGCATTACAATAGTATCCTCACTCCACACACCCGCTCTGGCTCCTCCACATCTTCACCCCCTCCTTCATACATCGCTCTCTTGTTTACAACCCACTCTTAGAGAAACTTTCTCATTTGAAATGCACCCCTCTTCGAGTGTTGGGGGTGTACAGCAGAGCTGCTTAGGAGCATGAATGAACAGGGCTGAGGGGAGCGGTCCCTCAGGTTGGGGGCTGGCAGCATTCCCATGGTCTGCATGTGTGAGCATTCCATCCATCCATATTCCCCTCTTAGGGTGGGAAAGCAAGTCAGTCCAATTGTCAGAGAAGCTGAATTTTAAGCAGAGAAGTTAAGCTTGAACAAGGGAGAGAGAGGAAGCCTTCATGTGTGTTCTGAGCAGAGGTATATCATCAAGATCAAACTTCAATATATAGGAGCAAAGGAAACAGTAAATACAGTGACCCTGTCCTGCCTCAGTCTTAGGACTTCAAATGAGACCAGCTTAAAAGATCCTGAGTCGGGCCTTTCCTATAAAGACTGCCTGGGTTCAAAGCTGAGGAGCTGAGGCCAGAGAGCAGAGGATCAGGCTTGGGTCCCAAAGCAAATCAGAGGCTGCATCAAGACTAGAACCCAATTCTCTTGACACCTGCTCCATGTGATTCTACTATGAAGGAGACACTCCCTACTATCCTCTCTTCTAGGTGGGAGGGGAAAAAGAAGAATCACAGTTCAGGAAAGTCCATCCTAGAATGCAGTAGGAGGTCACTGGCTCAGCCATTGGGTTGGGACACACAGGGGAAGTGGTCCCGTTTCTAGGAGATTAGGGATGGAAAGATGATGAGGGCGGCTATGTTGAATGGTAGGGACCGAGCCTGCACAGCAAGGCTGTTTCTCCAGGAGGTTGCTTAAGCCCAGAAAGAGATAGGGTGGGGTGGTGCCTCACCTGGTGGTACCCTGTACAGGTGACGAGCTTCTGTGACTCAGGGAGGAACTGTATGTCCTGGTCCCAGATGGGAACCCGCAGGTCGAGCCAATCATTCCGTACCTGGTGGGGCAGGTGGAAGGGGGACAGGGCTGTGAGGGGCTCAGCAGGCCCCTTCCTTCCACCAACTGTCTTATCCTCTAAAGCCACAGGACTCTGACTCATAGTCAGTGGTCTCAGCCTCCCTTGGCCTCAGACCCAGCCCCTCCCCACCTATTGTCACTCACATTCTTGGCTCTGAACACAGGCTCCTCTGACCCTTGCAGGTCCCACACCTTCAAAGCATTCTCCTTCCCACCCGTGGCAACTATGTTGGGGCGTGCTGGGTCTTGGCGCATCCTACACACCCCAGGGCCCACCCTGAGTTCCAGGAGCTGAAAAGGGAGATGAGAGGGGAGATGTGAGTCAGTTCCAGAGTCGTCAATCCTGCTCTCCCAAAGCCTTCATTTGGTTCCTACCCTGGGTCCCACCTTCCCCACCCATCAGGATCAGGACAGGGGAACTTCACTGGGTCAGGGGATGCCTCCTTGTCATTGTCCTGCCAGACTCGAAGAATCCCGGAATCCACACAAGTGATGAGGGTGCTGCAGGCAAAGGGAAGAGAGAGTTAGGTTTTTTAAAGGAGAAAAAAAAAGGCATAAAAGTGTTCCCTGGCTCCAGATGACCCACTGCCAAACTCACATGAACGAGACTCCCTCCTAGCAGCCCTGTTCCCAAGGAAGCCTCTAGGTAACTCGGGGCCAGGCAGGGTTGATGACTGTTGTTTAATTTCCTCTACAGGATGAGGGTTTATCAGTCTTATAGGTGAATAAGCTGAAGCTCTGAGAAATTAAAAGATTCACCATTCAGCTCTAAATGTCAGAACCAGACATGGAAATCAAAGTCTGTGACACTCCAAAGCAGAGACCCTTTGCTATTTCATAGCTACCTCTGGGGCACCAGGCCCTGCTGGTATTTCTGAATAGTGAGTCCATTTCCAGGGGTCAGGATCGGTAGCTCTGAAAGGACTGAAGTGGGACTGCTCTGGATTTAGTGTCTGGCCGAAGTCAACCACCAGTTTCTTCTCTCAAGTTCCCTGTTCCAGGTTTCAGACGCTAAATGTCAACCTCTCCTTGAAATAATGCTTCCCATGAAGCCCAAGCAAGTCTCTCTCCAGGATCAGCACAGCCCAAGCCTAGGCTCTTTCTCATATCTGCACACCCTCCCCACCTTGGTTCAGGCTCTGGGCTTGCCTGGGCTGTGGAAACAATCTCCCAGCTGCTCCCTCTCCAATCCATCCTACATGTTTCTGCAGGCTCACAGCTCTGACGATAGCATTTCCTGCTCAAAAATCAGTAACTCCCCACCACCTACAAAATGCAAATCTCAGCTGAGCACTTAAAGCCCTTTACCTTCCAGGGGGGTGGCTATAGCTCAGTGGTAGAGTGCATGCTTAGCATGCATGAGGTCCTGGGTTCAATCCCCAGTACCTCCAATTAAAAAAAAAATTAACAAAAAGTGAAAAAAAAAAGTGAAAAATAAAGTGCTTCCTCGGTTTCAACCCCCAAGTGCTATTTATCTTGCTCATGATGTACCCTCTAGCCCGGCACCAATCCTTGGCCTCTGCTCAGGCAGTAGCTTCTTCATAGGATGTCCTTACCTCTTTCTCCATCTGCCAAAATTCTACCCATCCTTCAAGGCCCACTTCAAATGTCTCACTCCCACAGTGCCTTCTAGATCTCACCTGTCAGAATTAACATCACCAAACCTACACAGCTTGTTCCCAGCCTCTCTCTCCACCTTCGAAAAAAAGCTAAGCCTATAACCCAGCACTTTCCCATCCTCTACTTTAGAGGTTCACCACCTCGTTGGTAGTTGTTAGGCTCCATTTAAAAACATACTTGAAACTATTAAATGACTTGCTTAGGGTCACCCAAAAGGTTATGGAGCCAAAAGAAAAACCCTCGAGAACGCAAACTCTATGAAGGCAGGTACTGTGTCTGGTTTACCTGCAGCCCTTGCATTTTGCCTAATGCCTGTAACCCAGCAGGTGTTCAATAAATGCTTATTATAGGAATGAACTAACAAAAGCAGAACAAAGGTCCCTGTCACCCAGACCAGGCCCGTGTCACCTAAGGGTTGATTGCCGTTATCCGGCCGTCCTGTGGGAGCCTCAATGCTCTCCCTAGGACCTGAGTGTTCGGCAAACAAGGGGCTCGGTCTTACCCGTCGACCTGGGCGAGGCCTCGGAACGTGCCCTCCCCTCCAGGGCAGTGCCTCTGGCCCTGGAACCTGCCCTCCTCGGTGCTGAAGTGCTTCACTGTCCCGTCGGCACAGCCCACTAGGATCTGCAGGCAGAGGAGGGCAGGATGGTGAGGAGAACGAGGCTGCCGCGCCCCAACCCCCCAGCTCCGGCCCAGGCAGCGGCCGCCCACCTGAGTCTCGCCGCCCGCGCCCCAGCACAGAGCGCTCACTGCCTCCTCGCGCCGCGGCTGTCCTGAAGCCGTGAAGTTCGCCGCCTGTTTGCGCTGAAGGTTCACCCCTGTGGGACGCAGACGTCAGTCTCGCTGGGGTGGGAGTGGAAGACCCCCGCAGTCCCCGATGCCCGGCCCCGCCACCCACCTTTCAGGATGCCGGTGTCGGTGCCGACCCACACATGGTTCCAGCGTGCCACCGTAGCCGCCATAACAGAGCTCGGGAGCACTCGCCGCTCGCACTTCCGGCGCAGCGTCTACGTCACCGGCGCGCGCCGAGTCCAATCCGGAATAACGCCATTGCTGGGAGTTTAAAAAACCGGAAGAGTAAAAATTCCCTGCCGGGGCCATCTGGTTTTGCTTTTTACAGAAACGAAATGTGGAGATTATTTGTAGAGATCTGAACAATAGCTTGATCATTTTACAATTGGAGTGAAACACATCCTAACTCAACCGCGATGCTGGGTCCAGCCGGTCCTAGTCCGTCTCCCTGCTCCAAAGCATGACTTTTTTTTAAACAAGAAAATAAAGCCCATTTCAGGGACGATTCAAATCGCTAACGAGGTGCATGTCTTCAACGTCAAATATAAAAAGACAAAAAGAAATCAGAGAAAATGAAACCGATGATCTTAAAACATCTCTGTTTTGGAAGGTGGAGGTAAGAGTGTCTTATTTCCTCACATTGAAAGGTTTGCTGATGGTAAAAATTAGCACCAACTGGGAGTGAAAATCTGCAGAATTAACAGAAACAATGTTTCTCCCAAGGATAAACTGCATCTTTTAAAATATCATTATGGCCCCCTTTGAATGACTACAGTTCTCTTAACGGAGCAATTTTTTTCTCTGCAGTCAGACTATCAGAAACTTTGCTGTTTGAAATTGTATCAGTAAGAATAAAGCATGCCCCTCCTGCCTGGCAGATCTAAGTAAGTCCTCCACAGAGAAGCAGCGTTGATCAGCTGCTGTGTTGCCGATGAATT